AAATAAAAATACTACAAGATTATTAGATTATTCTCAAGAATACACGGGAACTACATTGCTACGTTCCTATAAGGACTATTACTGAATAGAGATATAACTCGAGATTACCACGTAAGTCTTCAAGTCAGCTCTCAGAGATGAAGGTCATATGACAGTCATTCCCAGTTCTGATTTCTTATCGTAAAGGAGTACTTATCAGAATCAGATCTGTTCTACAGATGATTCTGTTGACCTCTAAGGCACACACCTTAGTACTGTAGACTACATAACTTAGGAGTTAACATATTCACACTGAAATCTCTTCTTGCTACTGCCTGACCTAGACACAGAACAGCAAACTACTAACACTCTAGAAGCCCAGCAGAGAGACACCTTGTACACAATACGTAGTCAATAAGCTTTAGGGACTACTTACAGAATGCCAGTCTGCCAGCTGGCTGACTTGAATTCTTGAAGGCAGTGATGAGTAGCCTATTCCAGAGCTGTGAGTTCGATGACAATGAATCCAGATCTGCTTCTTGGAACCTAGATCATTATTCTATTCTTGACTCATAAAGCAAAACAGAATAAATTCACTTTCTGTTTGACATGGAAATTTAATCCTAGTGCATCATAAGAATTCACCCATTAGCATTAACCCAGGAAGCAGTACTTTTCCCACTACTAAAGAATAGATGGTACGAAAAGGTTTGCATTTCAATAGAACTAGTTTTATTTATTCATTTATTTATTTATTATTAAACAAAAGAAATGGTCTAAAAGCAAATGCAAGTATGTACCAAGGGATGGGCATGACCTGGTACTTACAAAGGAGCTTCAGTGTCATAATGGAAACAGTATATTGTCTTGTGTGCTTGAGTAATCTGGAGAAGCAAGTTAACTAAAAGAGCTCTGTCAAGCAGTCAGCATAAAAAAGGGAAAGAAAACAAAATCAAAAGAAGGCAAAAGAACACTAGAAGTTGCTTCCAGAGAACTATGTGGTGGCCGCGTGACAACTGGCATCAACTCACAGTCTTCTCATTTTCCCCATTTTCTATAATTTTCCTTTTTTTTTCATCTGTTTTTTTCTTGAAGATGTTATTTCGGTAAAACTGAAGTTCTTTGATGCTTTCACTAATGTCATCAAGTGCCCTACAAGCAAACATACCACACTGAATAAAACGTTCAAAAGCAGAGGAGATGGAAGCATTTTATAAACTTTTTAAGTAACTTAACGACAACAAGTTACTATAAACGCCACTATCCAGCATCACCAAGAAATGGAATATTTCAGTAAAGCACAGGCAAGTATTTTTGTATAAAAAACTTCTGATGGTTAACAAAAATAGTAAAACATCAACTAAAATTTCCCAAACTGTTTCACAAGACAGTAATGTGGGTTCCAGTAAAGGGAAAGAGTTCCAGGGTCAAATGAGTTCAGGAAAAATTAAACATTTCTGAAGGGCTCTGCAAAACACTTAATAAACTAATGTGCATCATAAATTCCTAAAGACCTATAGTGTACACAGTATTTCTAAAACTTAATCAACTACATTTGTACAATATTTAGTAATAGGACATATATGAAACAAAGTTTGAGAAAGACTGTGCAATATTTAACATTCTTGAACATAACTCATAATAAACATCAATTATCAGATCAGACAGAACCTAAGCATAAAAGGATCTACCTCCTCTCCTGATAACTAATGCTATAGTCAGTGGCAGCCTGCCTCCAAGAGCCGCTCTTCCCTTCCAACATACTCTTTCTCACCTATTATCATCTAAGAAATCAGCCTGCCAAAATTATTACAACACTATGCAAATAAGCTCAGCATGGTGGGCCTCGGACCTATTATAGAAAATCCACTGCACAAACTTTAGTGCAAGAGTTTTACAATAATTATTCCTGTAGCTAACAATCTGCTTTCTTTTTTAGGTCCAGGGTATATGACAGAGAGCTTAATTTCTCAAGAATACAGCCTCCAGCTAAGGGACACAATGTCTAGTCGTAACACTGAAGTCTAAAACACATCTGAAAACCCAAAGTACTTTTATAACCCACAGTGCAGCAAAACCCAGCCAATCCAGACATAGGGCTTTAGTGATTACTTATATCAGTTGATGTGGACATCCATGTGTCACTACACAAATACCAGTGTCTTTTGCAACAGTGGGTTTTCTTCAAAAACTTATAGAGGCATTATATGATAATGTACTATCTTTCTAAAAATCTGAAAAATTCTACAACAGTTAAGACAACCCAAACCCTAAGGTATTGTAAAACTGCTATACTTTAACCACACCCAATAAAAACAGCCAAGAAGCTAGGGAGTCAGGATGCCAGGGAAAGAGGATTGTAAGTTTGTGGCTTGTCTGACAACTCAGCAAAATCCTGTCTCAAAATTAAAAAAAGTAGGAGCTGGAGATTTAGCTCAGCGGCATAAGCACCTGCGTTGCAAGCAGGCAGTCGTGAGTTCAATCCCTGGTACCGATAAAAAGGAAAAAGACAAAAAAAAAAAAAAAAAAAGTGGAGGACATAAGTGCGGTGGTCATGGGACTGCCTTGCATGCACAAGGCACTCAAGTCAATCCCGAGCTCCACTCCAAAAAAAAGTCGGGACTCTATTAGTTTAGGGACTGGCCTGTGTCAAACTGCACTGCAGAGTATGAACACAGAAGTGAACCCTGACTACTCTTAGAAGCCAAATCAGCCACATCTGGTTTTACGTTTCTAAAAACGCGCCAACAGAAAATAGAAAAAGTGCAGGACATTTGAGGCAAAAGCTCTCTAACCTCATGAAGACTAAGGTGAAATAAACCTGAAAAACTGTCCAAGCAGCACATTATTATACAACTATACACGAAGTGTTCTAATCTCAAATGGCTACAAAAACATTAATGCTTCTCCTCTCTAGAAAGGTTAGATTCTGTCATCACATATAAACCAAATTATCTAAAAGTTCTGAAACTATAATGTAGTTTGAAACTATATGACCAAAAATAAGGGAGCCTCTTCATCAGAATGGAGGATCTGAATCCTGACCAAAATTCCTGATAATCTGATAATACAAGAAAATCATCTTTCTGCGTGTTGACCTTTATCTTTCCCCAGAGGAAACAGAGTAGAGAAGAGATACTAATTTGGGAATTCTGTGTGCTGGACTGGGAAGCACCTGGGAGGACCCACTCTTACCTGTGAGAGGCAGCCTTCTTTGGTGCAAATTCATATTCCTCCGGATACCAGCGTCTACACAGTAGAAATGGAACTCTCAAAGGAAAGGGTCTCAATAATAGCTATCTCCTTCAAGCAATTTATTAACACTGAAAAAGACATTTGGGTTCTGACTCTCAAGTTGCTGCCGCCTGTCAGTCTGCCTTCCAACCTTTCCTCTCGTCAATGTATTTATTTCCTTTCAGCAAACTCACGGGGCACAGGACCCCTACATCTCTCGCGCCAGCTCAGCCCTCCGGGGTTTCTGCCCTAAATATCCAACTGCTTGCTAAACACTCACCAGACACTTTTAACTTCACGTACACAAAACCACACCCACTCATCGTGCGCAACAGCGCCCCTCCCCATCCGGCTACTCTTCCTTTTCCCTTTTCGTTGAACAGCTCCAACTCTCGCTATGCTAGCCAAATTCCAAACGCCAAAATCACTTTACACCTCGTCCTTTTCTTCACTGGAGCGTTTGGTGTCCTGCCAGTTAACCTCCAATATTTCATTTCCATTCCCCCCAAAAACCACTCACCTCGCTAATTCATTATTCCCCAAAGTGACCCAGTCTCCCTTATTTGCCTATCCCTTTTTGTGACACTTTATAATTTACATCACCCACTCTTCTAAACTTTCTCAAAGGAACCCCATCCTTACTAAATAAAAGCTAACTTCAACAGTACCACGGGCAAGCCTTGCGTGACAGCCTGGCCACCTGCCTTTGCCAACCTCCTGCTTTGCACTTCAGCACGATAAAACCATTTATAATTTCTTGCACACACTTGCCTGGGCTTCCTGCTCCTTCTCGTTCTCATACCTCAGCGCACTCTCAGGAATGCTGTATCCTTACTTAAGTGCCTCCTTCTTTAAACTGAAAAGCTATTTCCTACGCAAAGCTTTCCGACTTCCCGTTCCTCTGCTCCAGCAGGGTGAGGTATTCCTTCCCTACTTCCCGCATCTGCTACATGCTCATTTTCATTACTGAAGCCGTCACAGTATATTTTTAAAGTGTGTTTTTTATACCTCTGTCAATCCACTAGGTTCTTGGCTACTTAAGAGCTTTTCCCCTGTATGTTCCCAGCAGATAAGCCAACGCTTGGCACAAAATGAGTGTGTCCCACACTTTCTGGATTAATGAGATTTATATGGCGATTTTTGATGTTTTTTCCCAAGTCTCACTAGTAAGGGAAATTCAAACCTTGTACATGTAAGACGGGAAAGACATATGCCCCGTTAGCACCCTTAGTTCTACAGCTCTATTCAATTATTTTCCACAATTTTCAACTAAAACATGCTAAATAAGGCAAGTTAATGGATCCTAAATAGAACCCTTACCTGCACAGTTCTTTAACAGTGCTCACATCAATTATTCTATAATGAAGATGTTTCATGAACTGGGGCATGTATTTGTCAAGAAACTTCTTATCTGCATGAACTGAATTTCCTAGAAAGACATGAAGCATACTGCATCTCTGTATTTCTAGTGGTATACAACAGGATATAAAGTCATAAATTGTATTTGAAATAAGAATTTTTTTTTTAATCCAAACAATTCCTACAAGCATCTCTACATTTCTAAACCAGGCTTGCGTGCATCTGACTGGTTTCCAAATGCAGGTTTCCCAGTTTCTAGTCAGTCTAGCTCATAATAAACTTGTAAGTGGCTCTCACGGACTAAAAGATAATTCCACCATTCCACATGCTTAAAATGATACATAGATCTATTTGCTATTTTTCAACATCATGCCAAATGTGCAAATTTTGTCCCAGTGTCAAAAAATTCACACCACTAACACTTAAAATTTAGCTGAATTATAGGTAGATAAAACTTTATTTGCAAATTTTTAAACAAATCATATCCATACTCATATTTCCATACAGAAATTAAAAACACTAAATTTTAAATAAGAACTATTAAATAGACATCAGCCACACTGGCTGAGGAAAACATTTATACAATATATGCTTATATGCAGTGCCAAACTTTTCTTGATGACTGTTTAAGAAAAGTGTTACTACATTAATTTATATACAAAAATATAATATACTTTCACAGAACATGACTTTCTCTCTCACAATGTCAACCCTCTAAAAATTTGGGTAGAACTAGCCTTGTCTCTAAAAAATCAATGTCACAGGAGTTAAAAAAAAAAAAAGGATGGGGCACAATTTTAGATTAACAGACTAATAAGACATGATAATCAAATGCAATGCATGAGTTTTGACTGAATACTGGTTCAAAAACAATTAGACATTTTGAGAAACTTCAAATATGAGCTAGAGATCACATAATATTAAATAATTATTTTCAATGCAATATTGATATTTTTACATAAGAAAACACTTGAAGTTTTTAGAAGTATCATGATGACTGCAATTTACTTTTAAACACTAAAAAAAGAATAAAAATGGCACAAGGATAATTAATTACTAAACTCAACTTTTCCATGTATCTCAACTATTTCCGCAAAAAGACAGGAGGGAAAATTTTTACTGCGTTCATCTGTCCCCCAGATTCAGGTGCCAGGTGCCAGGCATTTTCCCAATCATCATGTTGTAAACTATACAAGTAAACCTGAAAACAAAAGTAAGATGTAGAACCCAAATCAGGCTAAGTGGAAGAAATGGATGATCTTGGCGGTCTTTCGGGAACTGCAGTCTCTTGAATCACTACAATGGAAGACTATCTACAAGATATACATACGACCGGATTTTACCTGCAAGCGGACAGAGCCCCGGGGGAGTCTGCTGTCGTACAAAGGACAGAAATTCATACTCTGCCTGCTGCAATGTAATTGTACTCTCCTTCACTGCCTTGGTAAGACCAGACTGCAAGAGAGAATCCCCCGCCCCCACCAGAAACACATGAAGTCAGTTTTTAAAGTTATCCAGAAATGAAATTTCACATCTAAAATGGGCAGATATAACCACAGATGGACCAGTTTTACAGCTCAAGTGCAAACTGAAACTGCCATCTTTACACAAACATTTTTCTTAAAGAATCCAAGCCAAGTAAGTTATATTCCTCATTGTTAATAGCATTTCCACACAGTCAAAAAGGATGGTACTCAAAGTCCAAAGACAGAACCTCTGGGAAGAAACAACTATTAACAGAAGAGCAGTATTCCCCCTTCTCTAAGAGTTGATGTCTAACCTTATCCAAAAGACTGACTTGAGTAATACTTGACAATCCACAATGCGTTCGCGACAGACTGAATGTAGGAGAGAAAAAAGAGGACATTCAGGAGAAGATGATCTCGAGAGGTCCCAAAGACGCAAAGGAAACAAGCAAGCAGTTTCCCAGGCTTGCCAAGCCATCTTCCTCTAACCCTCTTTCAATACCATCCAACAATGGTATAGGATTCAGATGTGGGTGCAACCAGCTTGTCACCGATCCCCAAAGCAGCAATCCTGTCATTTGGTAATGTTACCTTCCCATGATGCTCCTTACACCAATCTGACATGCTGTCCAGCAGCTCATCAGGCTGTTTGATAATCAGGTTAGGACCCTGTGGATGGGAAAAGCCATTAGTCACGATAAATCAACAGGAATAACCTTGCTCTTACAAGTGCAGCTTAGGCTGCTTTAAGGACTAAATGTACCTATTTAGAAAGTAAGGAATAAGGACACTTTGCGAACTCTCAGAGGAGTCTCATTTGGTTCGGCACTGTTCATAATGGCAAAAAGAATACACACAACTGAAAACCAAAATGCCTACTAATAGAAGACACAAGCATCTACCAGGATTTAGCAACAAACTACTATAGTCCCAGGCTTTGGTGGTTTTTTTGGTTTTTTTTGTTGTTGTTGTCGTTTTGTGATTAGAAAGCTAAGAATGAATTTTACATTTGGTTTCCTTTATTCATTCATGTGTGTGTGAGGGCGTAAAATGTGTTGTTGCTGAGGACAGCACCCAGGGCCTCATGGCTGTTAGGCAAGCACTGTACCACTGAAATTGAGTTTTGTATTTTTACACTGTAAAGAACTGTTTAAATGAAAAAAGAACATGAGAGCTATATGGCGTGCAAAGTGTAAAATATTTAGTATCTAACCTTTTCCAGAAAAAAATCTTCCAGTTACTAAAAGGGAATTCTTTTGAAAAATTATCAGTATGGCCAAGTGAAAAAAGCAAATTACAAAACAGTATTAACATACATATGATTTTACTTACACTTGTTTTTCAAACAACCACATTTAAACATATATAACATCAAGAAAACATGAAGTTTGGGAAATAAGGCTCGAGAATAGGACAAAATATCAATAGATTACTATTCATGTACTTTACATAAAGTTACCTTGTATAACTTGAGAGTAGTTTTATATTTCAAAAAAAAAAAAAGAAAGACGTTCCAAAATGGATCTTAAATGCTTAGCTCTATCTGTCACAACTTCTAACTGTGAGTCTTTGTACAGAGTACAGTGACACAGCCTGATTAGCACATTAAAACAAGTGTGTCCTTCTGGAAGACAGTGATAACAATTAAAAAACTGTCCTTCCTCGTCAGGACGTTAACAGAATAAATTATACATATGCAAGGTCTTGCGGGGTGCAGTGGTACACGCCTATCATCCCAGCTCCCAGGAGGCAGAGGCTAAAAGTGAGCCCCAGCCAGCCTGAAGTACATAGCGAGATCCTGTCTCAAAAAGTCCAAAAAAAAAACCTCTTTGCAAGAAAACTATTCTACATATTCAAAGTATTATTATCAAGGTGCCAAAATTAGTTTGCAATCCCTGAAAGAAATGGCCAGAACCAGTGTAAATTATAACTTAAATCCTACAACTGAAAACTGCCAAACAAGAAAAGTAGTGTTAGCAATCTCCATAGAGAAACAAAAAATTTGCTCTGATATTTAAAAAATACAACAAAAACTTGTACTGTCAAAAATAAAAATACTAACAATGTTGGCAGAGAGCAAACTACATACTATATAAATCTTCTAACCTATTTTAAAAGACCTGGTAATTTGGCAAATAAAGTTATCCACAAAAAAAAGTTTCACAGTAGGATGCTTATGCCTCTTCTGCATAAAACATTTTCCTCAAACCAATAAGATAATAAAACACATAGAATTGATAGCCCCAATTTTTGTTTAAACAACCTTATCTTCATCTGACTTAAGCTCCACTAATCTGCAGCTGTGTGAATACATACTTAAATCTCCTCCAGGGCTCATATCAACCTGCTGGTCCATTAAACTGTCAGTATTTCACATTATATCAACAGACTAAGGAAAAACATTTCTTTGGCCAAGGGTAAGTAGGGCTGGTAAAATAAAGACACTTCTCTATTTGTCTCCAGTAAATTCCAAGTCACAAAAAAAGAAACCAGACCAAAAACTCAGGGGCTTATTTGTATAACATTTCAAAGAAAAGTTGTTATGAGAAGAAATACAGGCTCACGATTCTAAAGCCATGTCAGGAACATAAGTCTAGTCCTCCACAAATGCTACAATTCATCTATGCCTTCTCACCTCTTTTGCCCACCTAAGAAATAAACAAAAGTCTTAAGTATAGATTTATGAAATGTATCCATTGCCAGTAACCCATCAATCATACACTCTAGGAACTTAGGATTCTTCTGCACAAACATCCCTAGTTTGCTCCTCCAGGTTTTTCTTTTGCATTTTGTATTGTTTTCTGGTACTTTTCTTTTCTTTTCTTTTTTTTTTTTTTTTTTTTTTTTTTTTTTTTTTTTTTTTTTTTTTTTCTGGTTATGGGTGTTTTTGCTTTAACAACTCTAAATATTGCTGCGGACATAAAACAGCCATTACAGTCAGGGATTTCATCTCCCACCAATGAGGTAGTATCAGCCACTTATTAAATGTTTCATGAGGCCAAAGTGCAACAGGCATGTTTGCTCTGCTTAATGCTTTGGTAAAAGTAGACTGTAAAAACCTTTATCATGGCCATATGTCAGCAAGACAGCATTTCTGGAAATGCACTAATAGAAATTCTGACATGTTAACACAGAAGAAACATATGTCCTAGATAAAAAGGCAGTCAGCTCTCCTTAAGCACGGTTCTGCATCCATGGATTTAACCAAATTTAGATGGAAAATATTTTACCAAGAAATGCATTTGTGCAGATTTTATTAGTCCTTAAGCAACACAGTATAACTACTTAAACAAAATTTACATTGTATCAGGTATTATAATCTAGAGATGATTCAAAGTATATAAGTGGATATGCATAGGTTATATATAAACACTGTATCATTTTAATACAAGAGACTTGAGTATCTGCAGATTTTGTTGTCTTTGGAGGAGTCCTGGAACCAAACTCCTATGGATACACAGAGGCACGACTGTCTATGAAATCAAGTTAAATTCAAAGTTAGGACACAAGGATATAATCCTGGGCATGAGTCACCAAACCTGATGGGACAACAATTATTATTACTGGTTAGGAGTACTTTACCCCTAACTAAAATGGCTTCCCTAATAATGAGCCAGCTGGCCGGGAGCAAAGTATTCAACATCACCGCATCCAAAAGTTCTTAACTATAAAATAAACATTAACAGTACTCACTTTAGAGCTGTTGTGAGGACTAAGAGAAAGTACAAAAACACAACTGTGCCAGGCATATCGTAAGCTCTCACCTAGAGTAAATTTTTGACGATGTAGTTAACTGAAAAATTAACCACGCTGTAGGATGGGTTACTTTGACTCTAGTACCAATTCTACCATGATCTCAAATATTACTTTGGACCTTAATCTATACGAACCTCAAATATATTTTTTTAAATAACGAGACTAGAAAAAAAATTTTTTTAGATTTCCAATGCCCTCCAAAAGTAGGATTATATTATATGGCATCACCTACTTCAGCCAAAATGTTAAGATCAGAGTCAGTTATCAGACAGGCCATCTCAATAATCTGGTCCTTCTCAATGTCCAATCCTGTCATCTGCAACAAAAAACAGATATATAACATACACACAACTTCCTCCTGGCCTCTTGTATCCAAGCTCGTTCAACAAGAATTCTCTGAAGCACATTCAGTTTATATTCCGAAGCCAGAATAGAAACGGTAATAACCTCCCTCAGAAAAGTACTCAAGATCCAAACACGAATCTTCATTCACCCAACAACCATTTACCAAAGGCTTGCATTAACACTAAGCCTTGCCCGGGACAGACGTAAAGTGAGTAAACTGAGACAACACGCAATTACAGAAAAGGTGGGCACCATCGCTACACTTAATAGTTTACAAACTCCTTCACTAAGTCGACCCTCATCACAGTCTAAGGCAGAAAGCAACTATGATCTTCCCCTCGTGAAAGGGACACGTGAGGCTGGCGGGCAGGGCACGGTCCCGGCAAGCTTCTGGTCCCCGGCTGCCCTCCGCCAGCACCGAGGGTGCACGGGTGGAATCCTGGCTCTGGGCCTCACTTGCTCGGTTAAGGAACGAGAGGGCGAAGGCTGAGTCATGCGGGAGTCCCGTCTAGCTGGAAGCAGGGTCCTTTAAGGTTTGGTGGGGGGAGGGAGGCGAGCCTCTGCCCCCCACCCCCACCCCCACCCCACCCCACCCCACCCCACCCGCGACCCGCAGCCCGCAGACAGAGCGGGGCGTTAGGCAAGTCCACGCACGGGCGAGGCGGGAGGGGGCGCAGGGACCCACGGGGACTCCTCCCTGCCGAGAGCGGCGCCACCGTCCTGCAGCGTCCCAGCCTGGGATGGCCCGGCGCCCCCCGCCCGCTCACCTGCCGAGCCGGGGACCCCGGGATGAGCTCGGCCGCCCGGTCCCACGCGCTGGACCGCACTCGCCGGCTCTCACCCGCGCCGACCTCGCCCACTCACCTCCAGGTCCACCCAGACCATCCGCTGAGCCATGCTCTCTCCTGCCGCCATGACTGCACCACCTTCGCGGACACCTCGTGCCCCGACCTGCCCGCGGCTCCCACCCACACCCCGCAACAGCCTGGAACCGAGAGAGCCGCCTAGCATCACCCGGCACCAGCCGCCACAGCCCTAGGATCGCCGCTGGCGCGCGCGCAGGCGCACTAGTCGCTAAACGTCGCAAACCCACGGGGAAGCACAGAGTGGAGACTACAGCTCCCAGCATCCCGCGCGCCGACTCGCCCTTCGCAGCCCACGATGGGCTGTCGAAAGGGCTGGCGGGACTACGAGTCCCGCGGCGTCGCCACTGAGTTCCCACCCCCGCCACGTGTTTTTCTGGTGTTAGTGGAAGCGCTTGTTTTTCACAGCTGAGTTTCCTCCCAAGCAGGAGTTCCTGAGTTTTGATTAGTTCTAAACCCCGCAGTTTAAAAAGGACTTTTTACATCGACTAGTCGAAAAAGAGGATTATGATTTTTAAAAATATGTCTTTTTCGTCTTTTTCTCTCTCCTTTTGGCTTACCTGATTCTCCCTTCCACATATTATTTTTCTCATGAACTTGAACTGAAGAGCGGTGTATTGCTTTGGGCCACAAAGCCAATTCCACTGTCATCGTTCATAAATCTTTAAGTGGGATAGTGTGTCAGAGATCACTTAGTATGTATCAAGTGTTCTATTAAGAATTCCTTGTCCTTTATCCTACAGCCTTTACCCATTTGGTGGGGAGGGACTTGAGCGGTGTCTCTCTGCAGCTGTCAGGCATAAGTGCTAATTGACTTCCTGTTTCGTCCATACTTAAGTTCTTAATGTGAATTGTGTCCTAGTGCAAAAAATCTATGCAGCAGACTAAATCAAAATGACAGCTCTGCCTTCCCTGTCATCTGCTATGGTTATGACTGATGTGTCTTTAATCTCCCATGACAGCTGTAGTTTCCATCATTTACCGTAGAGATGGCCAACAGAATCATTCCGCAACGATGTGTCAAATTTTGTGAGCCTTCACTGTGAGCTCTTCAGTAGCAAATTTGCCTGCAAAGGGCAACTTTGTCACAAATGTTAATCTCAGTCATGAATTATTTTTCTGAAAGCCTCTTACCACTTGTTACTGAGTTTGAGGTTCAAGATACACTAATTCTTCCCTGTTGAGCTGGTTTTCTGAGCAGCTGTGTTGCCTTCTAAGAGTTTCAAGCATAGTAAAATGTACTCCATTTCACCTTTTATTCCATTAGCGAACTCCAACCACCCTGAACTAGCGCAGAGCAATTCTGAAAGATTAACAAAACATGTTTACAGAATGTAGCTTTAACAACGTCTATACATTGTAACTGAGTTGCTTAATGGATCACATTGTTTTGTGATAACTATATTCATTTGTACTGTACATTATATCCATTTGTAGCTTCCATTTCTTTTTTTCCTTAGTTTTAAACTTGAGTCGTAAAAAGTAGAAATCAGTTATCAGCAAGGTTTTTTATTATCCTCCTAATATATTTCTTTAAATTTTCAAAGACTATCTTTTGTTTTCCATGTTACTGTTGAAACGTTGAGTAGGTGATTACAAATTATATATTCATTGGTAAAATTGTATTTACAAGTTTACATTCTGGGGGTCTGGGGATTTAGCTCAGCGGCATAAGCACCTGTCTTGCAAGCAGGCAGTCGTGAGTTCGATCTCTGGTACCGATAAAAAGGAAAAAGACAAAAAAAAAAAAAAGTTTACATTCTGCATATTCATAATCTTAATTTTTAAGTAAATGATAAATTACGTGTGGACTTTTGGCAAACTACCATTTATATTCAAATATACTCATGTACTTGAGTTATTAACAAAATTTAGATCAATAGCATTACAGAGGTATTTGTTTCAATATGTAATATCATTTCACTGGTAATAGAGATTAATGTTCCAAAATACAACAGAATAAACATCAAATTCAGAAATCCAAACTATGTATAAAAGAAGGAGGCTAGACACAACAATAAGGGACCCGTGAAAATATGAAAAGGAAGGCCTTTGTACTGAGCTACATCCCTAAATCCTTAGCCCTTTCTTTGAGACAGGGGCTCACTTTGTCTCTAAATTGCCCACACTGGGCTCAAACTTGTGATCCTCCTGGTTCAGCCTTCCAAAGTATCTCTGCTTTCTTACCAGTGACCTCCCTAACCTCACTTTATTCCTTCTAATTCCTGAGCAAAGATGACTCTGTAATCCAGAAGAGATCACCACAACACGAGTTCTTCAAGATACTGGTTTGGAAGCACTCCAAACCCTTTAAAAATCCCTTAGTTCCTCATAGGAGAGGACCCTGGTTGCTCACATTGTTCTTACGGCAACTTCATTAACCTAACATTATTATAACTGTGTTCCCTGGGACTTTATCCATACTTGTATCTGTTTTGTCACTGTTCTGAAGTCAACATGATTTTTATACTTTTATAAGACTAGCATTGAGTCACAGTAACGAGACTATCTCATACCTAAAAAGTATCCTGCAGTTAAAAGGCAATTTAAATAAATAACAGGTATGCCATGAATACTTACTTGATAATTTCTTTTCCTATTTTATGGACCTTCATCTTGAAACATGTTAACACCAGTGTTTATTACTGATAACCTGACAACTTCTGTTTACTTCCCTAGAGAGGAACAATGAATGATAAAATCTTTTCCCTTTTAGTATTCAAACTGTAAATTTATAAGGTAAAAATAACAAAACTTGTAATTATCAAATTGCCCTTTGTATAAAAGGGGCACAGAAAGGTTTTATGAAATTTGAGCTGGGTTTGTCTCAATTTGGTTTAGCAAATACTTAGTACTTACTCTGTATGTTATGCTTTGTGTTTAAATGCCCCACTCTAAGCCTATGCAGTCAAGGTGGGTGGCCTTTCAAAGGCAGCTGAATCTAGCATTTGTGACTGGTTTGTTGTGTAGTACTGGGATTTGTGGTGTGTGTGCTGCACCTGCCCAGGGCCAGATAGCCAATGTACAATATAAAGGAGGGAAGGAAGCATGTTTTTCCCTTTTTGCCATTTTCACTCATGGCTGCCATGAATGGTTGCCCCTTAGCCATACCAACCTGTGTTTGAGCCTGAGTATGGATTGAGAGCCTCCACAAATGATAAACTAAATAAACTTTTCCTTCTTTCATTTTGAGTGTGAAGTATTTTGTCTCAGCAATGAGAGAAAAGTAACCAAGACAGAACTTGGTACCAGGAGTGGGGTCATTGCTGTGATTGTACCTGACCATGTGCTTCAACAGCCTTTGGGAATGATTTCTGGGAAGATTTTGGAAAGGTTCAGAGATGTTGCCAGAAGGAGTAGAGCTGAAATAGCTTAGGCTGTTCTGCATGAGAGATTCTGGTCAGAGCTCAGAAGATCAGAAGGCTGACAGAAATCCTGCCAAACACTGAGTTTGGCCAGAAAGGAAGCTCCAGTAAAGCTATGGACTGTAAAGATAGAGCTGAGATCTCTGTTTCTGGAAAGGAACAAAAGAATAGATGAGATGTCCTGTGGGCATCATGGGAAGCAGCATGGCTCCACTTTACAACATAAAAACTGTAAAAGTGCTCAGTGATCCAGGTACTCAACCCCTAGGGCAAAGAAAAAAAAAAAAAAGGAAAGCCTGGTTACTGCTCCCACTGGAAGTGGACCTTGGCATCATCCACATGGCACTGAGATTAGATACATGCATCATGCTAGAACTTTGACTTTGAAAAGGCTTCCACTCTGATTTCAGAAGGCCTAGGAGGCCAGGCAGTGTGCCCTTGAGAGAGCAATATGTGAAGCTATGAGTGTCAAGCCAAATGTGCAGTCCAGAACCCAGAAGTTTAGAAAAGCCAGGAATGTGGATTGCAAGGAGAGAGCAAAGCAAGCCTAAGAGATGAGCTACAGAAGTTACAACCACCAGAAGTGTCATGGGCTCACTCACAACTTATCATGATTGCGTCAGATATTCCATATGGAATTCTAAAACTTCATATTTTGTTTTGTTTTTAGAGAAAAAATGAAACAGAAAAAAGGGTAGAAATAATAGAGAATTTCAAAAAAAAAGAAAACACTAGTTTATATATTATATATTCTTATCTTAGAAGCAGCATAAAAAGTAGACATACAATCAAACAATGACTATACAAACTATACAAAAATTAACAAAAACTTAGTAGCATGGTTATTTATCTTGCACATTTAAACATACAGTTTTATCATTTAGAGCACTTTATTTCCCTCTCTTTATTAGAATATCTATTCTACATTTTGGATCTTATTATCCTTTCAGTTTTTATTTTTTTATGCTTGAGACAATATGATATTTACAAATGTGAGTTTGATTTATTTCATTTATGAGGATAGTCTCAAATTGCCTCCATTTACCTATATAAGCCTCAGGATCATACTTTTTATAGCTGGGCAATATTCCATTGTATAAAAATACCACATCTGTTTCATCCATTCTGCAGTTGATGGGCATTTTGGTTGTTTCCAAGATTTAGCTATTACAAATTTTGCTGCTATGAACATCGGTGCACATATATCACTGTGATACGACCTTTTCAGTTTTTCTGGGAAAATACCCAGGAGGGGAATAGCTGGGTTGAATGGAGCTTCCGGTCCTAGTTTTTTGAGGACTCTCCATGCTGATTTCCATGTGGTTGCACCAGTCTGCACTCCCACCAACAGTGGAGCAGTGTTTCTTTTTCCTCACAGCTTTACCAACATTTGTTATTAGTTGATTTCTTGATGGCAGCCATACTTTCCAGAGTGAAATGCAATCTCAATACTGTTTTAATTTGCATTTTCAAATGACCAGTGATAGTAAACATTTCTTCACGTATTTACTTGCCACTTGTATATCTTCATCTGAGAAATGTGTGTTCATCTCAGATGCCAATTTTTGGAGAGGGTCTTTGAATTTGGGGGCTTGATGTTTTTCAATTCTTTATATATTCTGCATGTAAGTCCTGTGTCTGAGGGACTGCTGGCTAAAATTCTTTCCCATTCTGTGGAGTTTTTCATACTGTTGGTGGTTTCTTTTGAAGTGAAAAATCTTTTTACTAAGATGAGATCCCACTTGTTGATTCTTTGAAGTATTTCCCACATGGTTTGTGTTTTGTTTATGAATTCTTTGCTACCCCTATGCCTCAAAGGTTTCTACCTATCTTTTTTTTCCAG